ATCAGATTCACTTAGGATGGTGAATCCTGGAAGTAGGGCTGGTGTGTGGAAGAAAACAATGGTATCTCTAGTAAAGGAACTAAATTTGGCATTCTAAATAGCACTTAGAGTCCTTTGGTTACTTAAACTGAATGCCTGCTATACACCAGACACTACTTTAGCTAGGTATCAGAAATATATCTGCAGAACTGAGCAAGGTGGCATACACTTATAATCCTAGCACTTGGGAGACTGAAATAGGAGGATCACTCGAGTTCCAGGCTATCTTGGGCTACATAGTGAGTTCAAGACCAGTCTGAACCTCAAAGCAAGACCCTGTCTGGTGCCAAAAAAGAAAGCAAGACAGGGAGAGAAAAAAATCTAAGGAAAAAATGATTTCATTATATGAGTTGAGATGGAGTACAATTCGTTTTTGTTTTTGTTTTGTTTTGTTTTGAGACAAGGTCTCACTCTGCAGTCCAGACTGACCTTGAACTCACTTATATAGCCCAGGCTGGCCTCAAAATCTCAACAATCTTCCTGCCTCAATTTCCTGTGTGCCATCACTCCCATCTCCAATTAGAGACATCAGTTTTGACGGTGTTAGCATACCAATGCCATTTGAAACCATGGGAACTGGAGAGGCTATGTTAGGTGAAAACCAAAGAAGAAAACGAAGCACCAAGCTAAAGGATTGGGGAGAGGAGAAGAACCAGCAAAAGAGATTGGGAAGAGGGTAGCAGAAGGCAGAATGAAAACTCAGGAGACAAAGATTCCCTCAAATTCAAATTCTAATGACAAATTCAAAAGCAAGACAGTAAAACAATGATAAGATAAAGATTTAACTAGAGGACTTAGCAAGATCAAAGTCCTTGGTGACTTTTAATGGAATTTGTCATAAGAGAGAAGATATGCAAGCAGGATGCGGTGGCACATGATAATTATCTCAGCACTCTGGAGGCTGAGACAGGAGTATCACTGTGAGTCTGAACCCCGCCTGGAATACATAGTGAGTCTAAGGCCTGAGCCTCACTGTGAGACCCTGTCTAAAAAATTTTTTTTCAAAAAAGAGCAGATATGAGTCTGCATGAAAAAAAATAAATTCATGATCACTAACTCCATGTAGGAAGTTGACAGTGTCAGGTCATTGAATAATTGTTCCTAGAGTTGTAAATTTGTTAGTCATAAATGTATAAATATAAGCAAAAGTTTAATATGCATTTACCATGTGTCAGGCACTATATGGATTCATTTCATTATCACAACAGCCCTACAACGTAGAAACTATCAATATCTTCTCTTTTTTTTTTTTTTTTCAGACAGTAAGAGAGCTAGATTCCTACCCAAGTTATCTTTGGCCGCTGATGACCTTACCCAGGGAATGCATGTGAGGTTCACATAGATGACCCTTTGGTACTCGGGCATATCAATTCCTAGGTCTACACCCATGCAATGACCTTTGCTGAACCCTGAATCTTACAACTGCAGTAACTCCATAATTTTAATTTCCACATTCCACTGTCTGATTACCTACTGTTTTTCCAGCTCATTCCTTAGTTCCCAAACGACAGACATTTGTCACTAATCCCAGATTTTTGCCAACCCTCATCCCTTCTCCCTGATAGCTGTACGTCTTTTTACCACCTTAAATATCATCTCAGTAGCACAAAACTCCCATGCCTCTTTCCCATATCAAACTCCTCCCTTGGCAAAACTGCAGGTCTAGTAAAGTCTAACTCTCCATCCACAAACACCCAAAAGTGGCTAGAGAAAAGCCAAACACTCTGTTATGACTTAGCCACTTTAAATTCATGATCACTAACTCCATGTAGGAAGTTGACAGTGTCAGGTCATTGAATAATTGTTCCCCATGTAACTTTGTTTGTTTGTCCCAAGCTCACACTTGCCAGGTAGGCACTTATGCTGCTAAGCTAAATCCCCAGCATGTAACCTTTTTTTGAGACGAGGTCTTGCTAGGTAGTTCAGGCTAGCCTGGAACCCATGATGACCCTGTGGCCTCAGCCTCCCAAGTGCTGGGATTACAGGTGTGCACCTGGTTGTTTAAGAGAAAAAAATAAAAGTTTTAAAAAGAGATGAATCATAGTATGAATATGTGTTGATGAAAAAGATGAAAACTAATGCTACCAGGGTCAAGAAAGAATTTCTGTAGTAATATCCTTGACTAGGCAAGAGGAGGTGGAATCTAGAATTTAAATAGAGGATCATCTTTGTCAGTAACATAAGCCAGTTGAGCCATAATACTGGAAAAAAGGAAATACAGGTGGGTAGGCTCAAGGTTCTGAGAGCCTGTGGCAGTTTTCTTATGATTATATCTATTTTCTCAGGAAATAAAAAACAAAGTCATCTATCAAGGTCCTGTCTCAAGGGACTGGGGATTTAGCTCGAAGCATAAGCACCTGACTGACAAGTGCAAGGTCATGAATTTGATTCCTGATACCAAAAAAAAAAAAAAAAAAAAAAAAAAAAAAGAAAGAGAGAAAGAAAAAACCCTATCTCATAGGACAAATTAAAAAATCCTTGTAATTTTTACATTTATTTATTCTTCAGTATCAGGGATGAACCCAGGACACTGTTTCTGCTAAGCAAGTGCCTCACCACTGAGCTGTAGCCCCAACCATTCTCTTTCCTTTAAAACAAAGCAAACCAAGATAGTCTAGCTTTGTCAGTTTATTTCCTCTAATGGACCTTTCATCTCCACCACTGCTCTGAAACTGCTGTAAAGGTCACCAATAATCTCGTTATTATCATTAGAATTAGAAGGCTCATCTTCCGTGAACTCTCAGCTTTTCTGCCTTCCCTCTAATATCTTTGTCTACTCTCAGATTTTCTGCCTCCCACACTCTCTAACAAGATGTCTCGGGGAATTTCCACTTTCTGGGTAAAATTTAAAATAACAGGCTTTAGATATCATTCATGTGCTGAGACCTCAAATGGAACCTCTATCCTGGATCTTTCCTTCAACGCAAGACATATGTGGCTAGTATATTTAATTCCATATTCAACATTTCTCCTCATAGATGTTATGTCAGGCTGAATTGTGTGTCCTAGAAAAGATAGTCTAAGTCCTAACCTCGTTAGGTGATATCATTCGGAAATAAGATCTTTCAAATCTTTTTTTTTTTTTTTTTGTATTGGTACCAGGGATTGAACTCACGACTGCCTGCTTGCAAGGCAGGCACTTATGCCGCTGAGCTAAATCCCCAGCCCCTAGATCTTTCAAATCTAATCTGGTTACAAATCTCAACATGATTATCCTAGAATCAGTATCCTTCTGATAAAAGCAGGACACAGAAACACAAAAGGAGAAACAAACCCCCCAGAAAGTCATAGGAAGTCAGAGACAAAAACCAAGGATTAGTGAAAGAGGCAAAGAATTCTCCCCTGGGGGTTAGGGTAGCTAGTGGCAAAGTGCTTCCCTAACATTAGTCACACCATGGATTCAGACTTAGCGCCACTACCCTCAGTCTGCCCTAGAGGCTTTGGAGAAAGCACAGTCCAACCAGTACTCCTGGCCTCTTGACACTGTGAAGACACTTTTTTGTTACTTAGAATCATTGTTTTTATAGCGAGTTGCTACCACAGCTCAAACCTGGCAATTCAGTGACTGAGATCCTGTTCAATAAATAAATGGGACAGACAGCTGGAGTAAAAGAAGAGCAATTTCCTTGTTCCTTTTCAGGATGTTATCCTATGGGTGGAATTTATTGTGGCTGATGTCTTACAAAGTACAAATTAAAAGGTATTATGTCCCAGACAAAAATTATTTTATTAATTATTTTATTTTATTAACTTTAAGCCGAATTGATGTTGAAACTATGGCCTTTAAACCTTCTGGGATTTTAAGTTCAATTGCACTGAAAAAAAAATTCAATTTGCACTGTTGGCAAATCTTTATAAAAAGGGCGTTACAGTTCAAAGAGCAAGGGTTGCCGAAGGTATTTGTCCTATGTAGGAAACTTTGCCGTTTCTGTCAGCTATCTTGTCAGGGATCCTGCCCATATCATTTAACTCCCTTAATAAGGATCCTTTTGTACCAAACAGGAACACTTTTTTTTTTTTTTAATGTCTTGTCTTTTTCTTTTTCTCGGTACCGGAGATCGAACTCACGACTACACACTTGCAAGGCAGGTGTTTATGCCGCCGAGCTAAATCCCCAGCCCCGGGAACACTTATTTCTAACAGAGTTGTAAATTTAAATCAGACTCTAATCCGTGTTGATGGTACCTATAAGACTAACAACTCCTGAAGCTGAGCAGGAGGATCCTAAATTGCAGACTGGGATGTAGCTCAGCGCTACAATCATCAGTACCGAAGATGGATGGGTGGATGGATGCATGGGTGGATGAATAGATGGATGGATAAAGTGATTAATAGATAACGTGCCAGTCTCACAACAAACTTCTGAAGTCAGTATTAAGGAGACAGGCTAGCGGTATTTAATGTTAACTTTCCCAAAGATACCATTTTGTATTTTAAGAAGCTTCTATTCCGTTTTTTTTTTTTTTTTTTTTTTTTTTGAGACAGGGTCTTGCTGTGCAGTTCAGGCTGGCCTTGAGCTCATTTTGTAGCCCAGACTGGTCTCGAACTCGCAATGATCTTCCTGCCTCAGCCTCTCGAGTGCTGGGATTACAGGCATGAGCCAGAAGCTCCTATTTATTTATTTTTAAATCAGGGTTTCACTATGAAATTCAGGCTGGCCTCGAACTCACAGCGATCCTCTTGTCTCTGCCTCCCGAATGCTGGGATTACAGGCGTATGCCATTACGTCCAGTCTAAATGGTATATTTTATTTAAAACATTCTGATCAATAAGTGCACACCGAACGCCGTCGCTTTTACCCATCAAACTTTCTGGATTCTTAGCCTCCACCGGCGGGGGTGGCGTAGATTTGGGGGACAAATAAGCGTCACAGCCCAGGGAAAAGGGACTCACAGGGGCGGACGCTCGTGTTTAGGAGCAACACGAGCTAAGCCCGCTGGAGGATTTTAATTTACGCAGCACTCTGACAAGTCTTGTCTTTCTTATCTGCCTGTCCCCAGGCAGGGCTGGCGGACATTGCTCTGGCGCAGATTCTTCACTCCTTCCGCTTTCCGGGGAGAAAATCTAGGCCCCCGCGCGCGATTAGGAAAGCACCCTTGGACAGCTCCTCCAGCACGGCCCGCCCCCGCCCGGGCTCGCAGGCGCAGGCGCAGTCGCGCGCCTCTTCCGGTGAGCTGCAGAGGCCCAAACGCGGAGCTCCGGCGCGCCAGGCGAGAGGCGGAGCCGCAGCCGTTACGTCACTCGCCTGCGACCGCGCCTGCGCCGGAAAGGATGCTGCGTGCCGCGCGCCGCTGTCCGGAGTTGCTAGGGCTGCGGCGCCTTTGGAGGCGGACAGGACTTGGGACTCATTCATTTCTGCGCCCCTTTAGGCCGCAGTCTTTTGGGGAAGCCCGGTCACTGTGTTATGAGTCCTCGCCTAGAGACACACGGGATGCAGAGCCAAAGCGAGAGGCGGCACAAAGGGAAGCCTTGGGTTCAGAGTCGTGCCCGTCTCTCCCGCTCCGCGGCCAGGACATTGGGGTCGGATGTCTTTCGTCGCTGGAAAGCCTCAGACCGCGGACGCTGCAGGAGGTGTCAGACCCTCGAGATCGCGGGGATTCGAGCGGAGAGCAGCACCAGCCCGATTCCCTACACTGGGAACCTGGGTTTCCCTCGCTGCCCGCCCTGGCTCGGGCCACGTGTGAGGCCGAAGAGCTTTACGTGTCTTCTTCCTCCCCATCCTCCAGAGAGCGACCCTTTCAAGCCGGGGAGCTGATTTTAGCCGAGACAGGGAAGAGAGAAACTCACTTTAAAAAATTATTTAGATTGAGCAACATTGGACACTTAAATAGTATGTGGGGGTCAGTCCCGTACAGCAAGATCGTGGGAAAGTTGCCTGGCCAGATACTGACGAGTTCTCTTGGTAAGCGTTTTATGCTGCGGAGGCCAGCATTGGAAGACTATGTATTACTGATGAAAAGAGGGCCTGCCATAACATACCCAAAGGTAATGGAAGGGGGTTAGGCGCGTGTGAGTTTCACGAAGAGCAAAAACGCTTGTGGTATCACAGTCCTGATTAATGTACTCAAAACACACCTCAAACGTTGTTTTTGTTTGTTGTTTTTGACAATACTGGAGATTTAACTCAAAGCTTTCTGCGTGCTAAGGTAACACTCTACCACTGAGCCCTTTTTATTTAATTATTTATTTTTGTTTTGAGAGAGTCTCGCTAAATTTTCCAAACTGGCCTGGAATTTATGGTTCAGCCTCAGTGTACAGAGTAGACGCACCCCACCCAGCTACCTTTGAATTTCTCATTATAATAATAGAGATAATTTATGGCTAATTTTAAAAAGAAACAAACCGGATGTGGTGGCACACTCCTGTAATCCCAGCACTGGAGAGACTGAGGCAGGAGGATCTCCATAAATTTGAGACCAGCCTGGGTTACATAAGTGATTAAAGGCTAGCCTGCACTACATAGCAAGTCTCTGTCTAAAAACAAACAAGAAAATCCATTGTGCCAGGGATTCAGCTCAGTGGTGTTAGCACCTGCCTGGCATGTGCAAAGTCGTGAGTTCGATCCCTAGTACAAAACAAAACACTAAACATAAAAAAAATCCATTGTTTCAAACAACTAGAGATTGAACCTAGGACCTTCACACTGGGCTACATCCTCAGTGCCCCACCCCCTCACGCTTTTTTGGAGACAAGATATGCCAAATCACTCAGTTGCCTTGACTGGGCTCCATTTGGAATCCTACATCGGCCTCTCAACTGCTGGGGTTGCAGTATTGTGCCACATACCAGGCTACAACCAGGATTTAATTTTCATTTGGTATTTGTGATTTCTTTATCTGTAAAATGAAGATTATGTCAATTTATTAAAGTAATGTGTCCAGATATGGTGGCCCATACCTATAAGCCCAGCACTTGGGAAGCTGGGACAGGAGGGTCACTAGTTCCAGGCCAGCCTGGGCTGCCAAGGAAGATCCTGTCTCAATGTACCCACCCCCACCAAAAGAAAGTTTTCCCAGGACTCAGAAAAATTTCCCCAGAGGCATTAGGCTGACAGGGTCTGGGTATCTAAATTCTGGATGGAAATGTGGTTTCTTCTTCCTTTTCCTTCTCCTTGCTCTTTGTTCTTTCTTCTTCACTCATGCTGGCCTCAAATTTGTGGTGATCCTTCTGCCCCAGCCTTGGGAGTGCTGGGGTTACAGGTATGTTCCACTATATCCAGCTATCTGCCATTTTTAATTTGGAGTAGAACTATAAATGGCAACAATCCTCAAATTTCTAATTAATTTTTCTGCTGATTTGCATGATTGTGGTAATGATTATAACTGTTACATAAGGGTAGTTAGTAAATTTGTTATCACTTAGTGAAAACTAAACTATAACCCATATCAAAACCTTTGGGTAAGGATTAGATTTATGTTATTGAATTAATTAGGAAAGAGGTTAGAATTCCTCTTCAGAAAAAAAAAGTTAAGTTTAGAATGGTTGTTTAAAAGCCAGAAGTTAGCCAGGTATGGTGGCACACACCTGTAATCCCACAACTCAAGAGGCCGAGGCAGGAGATTTGACATGAGTTTGAAGCCATCCTAGGCTACATAGTGAGTTAAAGGCCAGTCTGAATTACAGAGTGAGACCCTTTCTCTAAATAAATGAATAAGTAAATAAATAAGTCAAAGTTAGCCAGGTGTGCTGGTGAATATTTTTCAGTTCCAGAGCTCTGGGAGTCTGAGCAGGATTGGGAAGTTCAAGCCCAGCCTAGGCAATTTAGAGATGTAATGAGATCCTGTATCAAAATAAAAAGTAACAACAAGGTCCATGGATGTAGCTCACTACACAGGCCCTGTCTTCAATCCCCAGCATCACTAAATAAATAACTATAGGAAACTCAGTAGCAGAATGATATTTCATAACTGTAGAAGGTTCTTCCAAGAGCCTCAGATATGTTTGGAAAGAGCAGGAAATGAGTGAGTGTTGATACTGTATCCACATTTTGAATTGAAATTGTTACATTGTTTATATAGTGGGATCCAAATTGGAGTTTTCCAAATTGGAAAACTCATGTTGAGACTATGTAGCCAGAATATCAAGAAGCAAAAACTAAGCTCTGTTCAAATGTCTTCTGAAAATAATATATAGGATTTTTGTATCTTATCTGAAGGAGCCAAGAAAAAAAGGAAGTATATTCTCAAGGGCTTTCCAACTGCCCAAGGAGCCTGACACAAGGCACAGGATGTGGATGTTCAAAAGGGTGACGTTTGGGAATGCACCTTTTTGTCTAACCCAGTTTAAAAATTGTGTGTCTATGTCATTTGGTTGAAGCCTTAGTCCAGCATTTCACAAAATACATTTTGGCCTTTAATTATACAACTATACCTGTTAAGTTCTGCAAGCAAAATTGTATTTTTTTATTTATTAGTATATGTGTGCATCAAATTGTATTTGATTTACAACTTAGTTGTGACTAGGCAGACGGACCCTGAAAATCTCCTGTTAGAATTTTCACCTGCAACGTCTTCTATAGAAAGAAGTGATTAGTAAAATCTTATTAGATATGCCGCTTATTAGCAGCTTCAAAAATTCAATATTGGAGCAATGCTAAGAGAATTGCTGGCATTTAAAATCTCTCTCAGGCCAGGTGTGGTGGCACACACCTGTAATCCCAGCACTCAGGAGGCTGAACCAGAAGGATCCTTGTTAGTTCAAGAGAAGCCTGGGCTACAAAGTGAGTTCAAGGCCAGCCTGAACTGCATGGTGAGATCCTATCTCAAAAAAAGGCAAAAATAGAATAGAATAGAATAAAATTCTCTCTCAGCTGAGCATGGTGTGAAATAGGGAGTCCAGGCCAGTCCAAACTAAATGGCGACACCCGTTTCAAGAAAAAACGAAATCTCTCTTGGTGTAATATTTGGAGTAATGGTCAATGGCAAGATCTTTAGTGTTCAACATCAGCATTCTTTCTGGACTTTCCTTTTTTTCCTAGGGGTGTGACCTTAAGCAAATTCTCAACCTGTGATTTTTCGAGACAGGGTCTTGCTATTTAGTTCTTGCTGGCCATTTTTTTTTTTTTTTTTTTGGTACCGTGGCTCAAACTCAGGACCTCGCACTTGCCCAGCAGGCACTTAGCCGCTGAGCTAAATCCCCAACCCTCCTTGCTGGCCTTGAACTCGTAGTGATTCTCTTGCCTTAGCTTCCTGAGTACTGAGATTACAAGCATGTGCCACCATCCCCAGCAATGTGATTTCTCATTTTTGTAACACAAATGATAATAGTTTTCTCAGGTTGTTATTCTGACTAAATGAGATAATGTGTGGAAATAGTTTGCATAGTTACAGAAGCCTCGCATGTGGTAAAGTTTTAACAGCTTTTATTACCATCATTCATAACATTCCTATTGCATCAACAAAAGCAATTATAGTATTTGGCAACTGAGTCTTCCAATCTATTTTGTTGCTGATGTTGTTGTTGTTGTCTTTGAAACAGGGTTTCACAATGCAGTTCAGGCTGGCCTTGAACTCACTTCATAGGCCCAGGCTGCCCCAGAACTCAATGATCCTCCTGCCTCAACCTCCGAGTTCTGGGATTGTAAGCATGCACCACCATTCCCAGCCTCCAATCTATTCTTTTATCTCAATTCTGAATTAAAAGCTCAAACAAATAAAGTTGAGGATTTCAAGCAGAGGATGTACAGTGCCTTCCTAGCTGGTTTTCCTGCCTCTCATTTCTCTCTAGTACATCCTGGGTTGCCCTGCCGGATTACTCTTCCTAAGATGCCATTTGTAATGTAGCAGTGATGCGCTCCAGTTGCCAGGCCAAGTTAAAGGTCTCAGACTGCATTAATGTCTATGTCTATTCTGTCTTCGCTTTTTTCTCTAAATTCTCCCCTCTGCATCTTTGAGCTGGGGCCATCTGCTCCTTTCTTCCTATGGTTCTTACTGTCTGTAACTTTTCTAATTCTGAAATGTTGTCTTATTTGTGAATTATTTTCCCTTCTGTTTTGGGGATTAAATCTAAGGAGCACTGAGCTACATCCTCACTCTTTTTTTTTTGAGATGGGCTTTTGCTGAGTTTCTCAGGCTGGCCTCTCACTTGTAAAACCCCAGTCTCGGCCTACCACCACATAGCTGTGAAGCTTGGCTGCTAATAGACTTTTTTTGGAGACACAGTCTCCCTATGTAGTTCAGGCTGCCCTTGAATTCAGTGGAAAGCGCTTGAGAACAGACTTCTATTTTCTTGGCTCTTTCCTTAAGATATGTAGTGCAGGTCCTCCTGCCTAAGGCTCCCAAGTGCTGGGATCACAGGTGTGTGCCACCACCACAGCTGCTGATTGTTAAATCTGCCCATGTCATACAAACTTTGGTTGACAGGGCCAGTGTTCAATCTGCTCTTTGTTTTGTTTCTTTCTCTTCTTAACTATAGTATAGAATGGGTACATCGTGCGTGTTTCTTAGTCACTGAATCTCTTACACTGTTTCCATTGTAGGATGTGAATGTGGTACTGATGATGATGGATATCAACCCGGGCGATACCGTTTTAGAAGCTGGCTCTGGCTCTGGTGGAATGAGCTTATTTTTATCCAGAGCAGGTAAGAGATTGGGGTGAGCTAGAGGTAGGTGATACGACATTCAAGACATTCTAGTTTCTCTTTTTCTTTTGGTCTGGGAATCAAACTCAAGGCCTTGCGCTTGCCCATTTTTTCATAATAATAGGACATTAGAGAGATAATGATATTCAGATAACGATATTCATAGTGTATCTTTGTGATATCATTATCCTCAAAACCAAAAGGAAGCATCTGTTCTTTTAGTTTGTGCATATGTTGCAGTTACACTTTCTAATGATTCGTTTTCTTTGCTTCTCACCTGTTCCACACTCTTTAATATGTTTTTGTGACGGGATCTGCCTGTGTAGCCAAGGCTAGCCTTGAACTTGTGCCAGTCCTGCCTCAGCCTCCCCAGCGCTGAAATTACAAACATGCAGCACCATACCCAGTGCTTGAATTGATGATTCTCTTGGTTCAGCCTCTCGGAATGCTGAGATTACAAATGCACCAACCACCATGCCTGGTTTAAGGTTACTTTTTACCCATTCTGGTGGTACTAGAGATTGAACCCAAGGCCTTAGCACTGAACTGCATCCCCAGCCCTAGTTTAAACTTGTTACCTTCCTTTCCACCCTCCCCTCCAAGAGTGCTGGGATTACATACATGGTCAAGCTGGGCTTTAAGTACAGTAGCATAGCTACGGAAAAGTGCACAGATGGTAACTTTTATATTGTTACCATGCCTACGTAGCTATTACCTGGATGAAGGTAAAGAAGATCCCTATGACACAAGATGCTTCCTCATGATGTCTCCGAGCCCCATCCTCTCCAGGGAAAACCACTGTTCTGACTGGTCACCGCCAGTTAGTTTTACCTGCACCTTATACTAATAGGATGATGCAGCACGTACCTTTGTGTTTGGCCACTTTTGTCATTATGTCTGGGATTCTGCCATTGCTTAGAGCTGTTCTTTCATTTTAGTTACTGTGTACTATGACTTACCAGTACTGCCGTTGATGGATATTTGAGTTGGGTGTTACAAATAACACTGCTCTGAGTATTCTTACAACTTTAGTGCATGTGTATCCATGGATAATAATGCTTGACGGATATTCAGGGTGAGAGAATGTAAGGCAGTGGTAGCGAACCATGGCACAGCGGGCACGCAGAGCTCTCGGTTGGCACGAAAGCCAGGTCGCCTCAGCATCACCCAGCAATGTACCATTCAGGTTTAATTGCAGTATTGATGGTACCGGGATTGAACTCACGACCTTGCGCTTGCCAGGCGGACGCTTATGCCACTGAGCTAAATCCCCGGCCAGTGTTGACATTTTGTGATAAATTAGTGACTGCTGGGTTGCAGTTTGGGTATGCCTCTCTAAAAGCTTTGCCATCACTGATATAGGAGGAACAGGAGTGCCCACTACTGAGAGATAGTTATATGCAGATAAGGGACAAAAGGTTGTCATTGGCATTCATAAATAATACAGCACTATCATTGATACATGGTAAGCATACTTAATAGGTATTAAGTTAAAGCTGGATTATGAAAAATGTCTTTTAAAAAGTCTCTAGAAATTGTCATTTGGAGAAAGTACAAGAGGTATGTAGTAAACGTAAATTATGTTTCTACTACCTCATTCCTGGTTGTTGTTAGCCCAGTTATTAGTGCCCCCTTTGACCATTTAATCCTCTCTGAAGTCAGGTTGCTTTGGCTGGTCTGGCTACCCATGCACATTCCTTCCTTACCTAATAATAGACCCCCCTAAACAGTCGTGGCACTCTTTCTGGGTAGATGTTATAAAGTTTACAGATAGAAATATACTGACATTAAACTTACACATCTTGGCCTTTTGCCATCATATACAAACATAATCCAGACTATGTTATGGTACATTCCTTCTATTTCTTCCGATCTTTTTCTGTCCTTAGTTCAAGCAGTCATTTCTTCACTACCAAGACAGATTCCTAAATGTATGCTTTCGTTTGACAAAGTAGATTATTTAAAAAAAATCCTTGTGAGCTATGGCTGGGCCTGGTGGCACACTGTAATCCCAGCACTACAAGAGGCTGAAGTAGGAGGATCACAAGTTCACCCCTACCTGGGTGATTTAGCAACTAAGCAAAACCCTGTCTTAAAATAAAAAGGGCTGGGGGTATAGCTCAGTGTGAAGGTCTTGGGTTCAAACTCCAGGACCAGGGGAAGAAAAAAGAGTCAGGGAGGAGAAGTCGCATGTTACTGCTGTCAGAGGACTGTCATGGCATGAATAATCCCAGGCCATGAATGATCAAGAAGTTAGTGGTATTTTCCACTGGGCTGAATATATTTCCTCTATTAATTGCTCCCAGACATTTAGTCTATATTACCATTAATTTTATTCCCTGAGAACATGAAGAGTTGCAGCTATGTTTTAAAATACATCCTGGAATTTAAAATTTTCCTTCGTTGTAGACAGATTGATCTGGGAAAACCTCTAGATGGACTCAAATCACAGCTACTTTAAGATATAATAGTGTGGGGCTGGGGATTTAGCTCAGCAGCATAAGTGCCTGCCTTGTGAGGAGGCCGTCATGAGTTGATCCCCGGTACCGATAAAAAGGAAAAAAGACCAAAAAAGGATGTAATAGTGTTTTCTGGAATTGCATTATTACTATGCTAAACAATTTGAACATACAAATACTTTTTAAATACATGAAGGCCGTCTGGGCTATAATTCTGTAATGCTGCTTCTAGCTTACCATTCCTTTTCACTGAGTGCCCCCAGCATGCTGCTTCTGGCTCCCTGTGGCATTTCCTGTGTGTCTCTTTGAGACTACAGTGGTCTGTTCTCCCAGGTATGTGGATGTATCTTCAATAATAACCGATGCATTGTTCAACACAAACTAAGTTTGTAAAGGTTCAACCTCTTCCAAATTAAAACTGCGATGGTAAACTTCCTTCACTTTTCTTGTTGAGGCAGGGTCTCACTCTGTAATTCAGGCTGGCTGTTAGCTCGTGGCAATCATCCTGCCTCAGCCTCTTGAGTGTTGGAATTATAGGCATGTACCACTACATCCAACTTTTTTCACTTTTTAGATTGATACACATAAAAAGTTTGATAATTATTTATTGGTGAGGTGTAGAGAAATAAGTACTCGAATATATTTTTGGAAGTATAAGTTGGTACCACTTTTTGAAGGATAATTGTTAATTGGGGGGGGGGTAACCAGGGATTGAACTCATGACCTCACACTTGGCCAGGCAGGCACTTATGCCACTGAGCTAAATCTCCAGCCCTAATTGTTACAAAACAAAAACTTCACATACCCCTGGAGCCAGAAATTCCATTTTTAGGACTTTTTGTTATAAGAATGTAGGCAGAGGAATGTTCCTTGCACTTTTGTTGGACTAGTGAAAGACTAGAAATAAGCTAGACATTCATTGGTAGGTGACTGGTTAGCTAAATTTTGGGATAGCCAACAGTGGAATATAAGAGCTGTTAAAGGCAGTGTAGCTGCTAAAATGACATAGGAAGAAGGAAGGTGTGTTTCATACCCGCAACAGTGTGTCTCATGATGTGCTGAAAACCAGTTCCTTGCACACCTTAATTGGCACTAACTAGCATGGAGGGGTGACACTTAGGAAGTTTGACTGGGGATGAAGGATGATAGAAGGGAGACTCTGGTAACCTGGAACTGTTGAAATGTTTTTCTGCGTGTTTAGTATCTTAGCAAAATCAATGCTTAAGACTTTTTATCAACTATGACATATGAATTGTTTTACTTTAGTTGGATCCCAAGGACAAGTCATAAGTTTTGAAATACGAAAAGACCATCATGATGTGGCAAAGAGGAATTACAAACACTGGCGTGATTCATGGAATTTAAGTCATGCAGTAGAATGGCCCCACAATGTGAACTTTATTCACAAGGATATTTCAGGAGCAGCTGAAGACATAAAATCGTTAACATTCGATGCGGTGAGTTTTCTAAAGTGGGTCCTCTGAGTACAAAGAAAACAGGACCCCTCCCCCCCGCAAACTAGGATTGAACTCAGGGCCTCGCATGTGCTGAGTACACACTGCTGCTAGGCTGCATCCCAGCCTTCGGGCTTCTGTAGCACAGGCAGTGCTCTTTATTGTATTCACTCTGTTTCCTGCACTAGGTGTGCAAAGAATATTTTCCTCTTAAAGCCTTTAGATCTGGGAAGTTACATACTGATTTAGATGCTGAAATTGTTAATAAATGTGGCATAATGACCAAAGACCAAGAAGAGAAGTGTTGTGAACTCAACATCTGCAATATAAAGGAATAATGATTGGGAAGCAGTAAGGAGCGTATTGAGCCCAGCATCTAACCTCAGTTGTGAAAATGGGTGAACACATAGCCTCCCTTGAGAAAGAATAAGCAAGAGGCATCTTTAGAAGTTAAAGTTGGGATGTGGAAAGGACTATTCATTAATCATGTTAATGAAGTTATCAAAGCTCCAGAAAAGTGGAATAGAGGGATTTATTTTATTTTGTTGTTACTTTTTGGTTTTTGAGACAGGGTCTCACTGTGTAGGTCCAGGCTGCCATCGAACTCCTGGTGGTCCTTCTGCCTCAGGCTGCCGGGTGCTGGGACTGCAGATGTGTGTCACCACGCGCAGCCACGTCCAGGGTTTTTTAGCAGTGAGAGGCTGAATTAGGGAGATGTAGAGTAGTATGAAGATAAAAGGACAGGGGGAAAGAGTGTACTTTAAGCTGAGAACTTGCTTTTCATAGTTGACTGCTGGAAGGTTGGATTATTTTGATAAAATAGGAAGCAAAGTTCAGGGCATTATGGCCACAGACTGAAGCAAAGTTACAGGGAGAAAATTATTTTTATCAGCACTGATTCCCATCTGCTATATGATTAAAGTGTATAGTTTACACTTTTTCTTTACCATTATTTGGCTTGCATTATACAGTTTAATAACAGAGAAAGAATTGTTTTTGTTTTGTATTTTTGAGACAGGGTTTCACGGTGTAGCTAAGGCTGGCCTTGACCTTGCAGTGATCATCCTGCCTTAGTCTCCCAAATGCTAGGATTACAGATGTGCACACCACTCCCTGCTGAAAGGCTCTATTTTAGACCATCCACAGTAATATTAGAGATAAACGTTAGTCATTTTTGCTTGAACATGAAACACCACAACTTAATGGTGTTGCTAAAGCTTTGTAGAAACCTACCAAAGGATTCCTGACCTAAAAAGAATACTCCTTTAGATTTATTCAGTTGAATCTTTCAAAAACAGTACCAGATGAATGTTCATGGGAGAGGATATAAGACGAGGAGGAGGAGTTTTAGGTGCTGGGAAAGTTAATTATTACTAGGACCAAAGAATTATAGTTGATGCTTACATTAAAATCCTAACATAGGGAGCTGGAGATTTAGCTCAGCGGCATAAGTGCCTGCTTGGCAAGTGCGAGGTCATGAGTTCGATCCCCAGAACCAAAAAAAAAAAAAACCCAAAATGAAAACAAAACTGAAAATCCTCATATAGAACTATTAAGAAAAGGTTGGATTGTTAGAAACTGGCAGTTTAGTTCGATCCCCGGTACCGATAAAAAGGAAAAAGACAAAGAAAAAAAAAAGAAACTGGCAGTTGATAAAAATACTATTTGGCTGCCAGATGTGATGGAATACGCCTGTAATTCCAGCACTTGGGAGACTGAGGCAGGAAGATTTTTTTTTTTTTTTTTTTTTTTTTTTTGTGGTTCTAGGGCTCAAACCAAGGGCCTTGTGCATGCAAGGAAGGAGCTCTACCACTGAGCCACCTCCCCAGCCCCAAGAATTGTAATCATTAATTGCCTTCTAAAGCGGAGAATTAGCATGGTGTCTGGTCTCAATCGAACATGTGAGATAGTTCTGTTCCTCTGGGATCTGCTGGCCGTGTGTCTTTCCCTCTTTTTCTCTGTCATGCGTGCACACACAAATTTTCTGTCATAATCAACGTCTTTTTTTTGTTTCGTTTTGTTTTGTTTGGTACCGGGGATTGAACTCAAAACTGCACGGTTGCAAGGCAGGTGCTTATGCCTCTGAGCTAAATCCCCAGCCCATGTATCAACTTGATAACAGATAATGTTTAATACTCAAGGTTCATACTACTGTATTACAAATTTGCTTTCCTGAGATAAATTTTCAGTTATGACTGTAACTTTCTGAGTTGAGTGGCCAGACGAATGATGCTGTTCGCTGGGAGCAGAGCAGTGGAAGGCCCGCCAGGTTTCTTGGCTCTGCCCTTACACTGCACCACTGTGCGCTTCCTTTCCTTCTCGTGGTCTTCAGTGCATAGGGTTTAGAATAAGTCAGGTATCTGATGCCATGGAGCCATGTACTTAAACGGGTAAAGATGCAAAACTGTATGCTTATACGTTTTTACCATGCACAAAAAAGTAAAAAACAAAATCCGATCGTATCAGTTATTAAAACATTTGAGTAAAGCTAAAACCTGAGATTCTTTGCCCCCCTTTTTTCCTCCCCCATACCGTTCCCATTCTGTTTTGGACCTCGTCTCTTGCAGTCTCCCTCCTTTTGTCTCCACTACAGTGACAGTGGCCTCTTCAGGCCCCCCAGGAGCCCACTGTCGCAGAGCGGTGGTATTTACTATTTTCATTGCCTGGTGCTACTTGTTACCTAAACATCCATGGTGTAAACCAATCGTTTTCTCAGGGTCTCTTCACTGATCAGCCTGTGTAGAAAATGACAGCTCCCCCCATCACTCCCTGTCCCTCTTACTCTGTTGTCTGTTACACAGTTCTTCATGTACTCATTTCTCTCTGTCCTATATATTATATACTTACTGGGTTTTTATTTGTCCATTTTTTAGAGTATAAGCCCCAAGAAACAGAATGTAAGCTCTAATATCTTTACCACTTGGCAAGATGCTTAACATGGAGAAAGTGATAAATATTAACTTTGTTTTCTATTTTGACTGGATTTACTTTTTTTTTTGTTTTTTTCTTTTTTATCAGTACCAGGGATTGAAACCATGACCACACACTTGCAAGGCAGGCACTTATGTCGCTGAGCTAAACCCCCAGCCCTGGATTTACTTTTTAATGCTTTATTTGAAAGTTTCAGTCACTTATTTGCTCATTGTACTTATTTGGCTTCTTTTGTGAATACAGCCCTGTGTTCTACAATTGAATAAAGAAAGAAAAAATAAGGAGCATGATTCATGAATTTTAGACTCTAAAATTAAAAAAAATTTTTTTTTTTTTTTGGTACTGGGCATTGAACTCATAACCTCATGCTTGCCACACAGGCACTTAAGCCACTGAGCGAAATCCCTGCCTAGACTGTGTAAAATTTTTATTCAGAGCTTTTTCCATTGAATGTTAGAATTTTTTTTTCTTTTTGGAAATGGGGTCTCATTGTGTAATCCAAGCTGACCTCGAACTAATTACGTAGCCCAGGCTGCCCTCACATTTGCAATGATCTTGCTTCAGCCCCCCAAGTACTGGGATTACAGGTATGCAGCACTATGCCTGGCTAAAACATTCAAAGTAATATGAATTTCTATTGCCAAAATTGAACTAAAGTATTTAAGTTTATAGATTTTAGGAAGAGAAATTCACAAGACCCCAAATATTTTTAATTTTTTTTTTCCTTTTTATCAGTACTGGGGATCGAACTCACAACCGCCTGCTTGCAAGGCAGGTACTTATGCTGCTGAGCTAAATCCCCAGCCCTATTTTTAATTTTTTATGTTGTAATGACATGTCTTACAGTTGACAATACTGATAATACAGAAGTCTTCTTTTTGTATATAGAAAGATTCCTGTATTAATATTGCCAAATGCAAGACAAACCATTATGATTTTTATGTATAATCAAGTATTAGGACAGGTTGTATAATTTTTTTTTGTTTTTTATCAGTACTGGGGATCGAACTCACGACCGCCTGCTTGCAAGGCAGGTACTTATGCTGCTGAGCTAAATCCCCAGCCCTATTTTTAATTTTTTATGTTGTAATGACATGTCTTACAGTTGACAATACTGATAATACAGAAGTCTTCTTTTTGTATATAGAAAGATTCCTGTATTAATATTGCCAAATGCAAGACAAACCATTATGATTTTTATGTATAATCAAGTATTAGGACAGGTTGTATAATTTTTTTTTGTTTTTTATCAGTACTGGGGATCGAACTCATGACCGCCTGCTTGCAAGGCAGGTTCTTATGCCACTGAGCTAAATCCCCAGCTCCCCCACTTTTTTTTAAAGGTTGTATACTTTGAGCATACTCTTTAGAAAGCAGTAAAGTGACAGCTAGTGGTATTGTTTTTGTTTTGTTTTGGGTTTTTTTTTGGTTCTTGGGTTTTTTTTTTTTTTTTTTGGTACCAAGGATCAAACTCACGACTTAGCATTTGCCCAGCAGGTGCTTATGCCGCTGAGCTAAACCCCCAGCCCCTCGTTTTGTTTTTTGAGACAGGTTCACACTGTGTAGTTTACACTATGTAGTTGAAGCCAGCCTTGGACTCAGCAATTCTCCTGGACTAAGCCTCCCAAGTACTGGGATTACAGGCGTATACCCTCATGCCTGGCTAATGGCACTATTTTTTTAAAAAACATGAAATACCTTAACTGGGTTATTGCTTTCTAAAAGTGTGTCATTTTAACACAGTAACAAAAGGAAATCTATGTTTTATTTAAACAGAATTAGACTGATCCATTTCTCTTTTCCTCCCCACAGGTAGCTTTGGATATGTTAAATCCTCAAGTGGCACTGCCTGTTTTATACCCATGTCTTAAACAGGGTGGTGTATGTGTTGTATACCTAGCAAAGTAAGTAATGGGACTATTTTCCTTTGTAGTATGATTTTAAAATACACTTTTCTTTTGCCTAAATACAGGATCCAAAATTCCTCTTGTAACTGAGTAAGGTGTGTCATATCATAAAACTGATACAATGCAGCGAGGTATGGTGGCACACACCTGTTATCCCAGCACTTGGGAGGCTGAGGCAGGAGGATTGCCATGAATTTGAGGCCAGCCTGGACTACATAGTGAGTTCAAGGCCAGCCTGAACTACATAGTGAGACCCTGTCTACAAAACAAAATAACAACAACAACAAAAGCCTGTTATTATGCATGACCTAAATTAAATTACAGTGTATATTCCTGTTTAAATCATCTTTTACAAATATAATAACATAAGAAGCATATTTCTCCTGGTTGGAAGAAAAGTTTTAGAAGTGCGGTATGAACAGTAATATTAAATTATGGTCCCTGTTACTTTTATGTAACATGTTAAATTACTCATTACATACCCTAAATTGCATGGCTTTAATGGTGGCATATAAATTTGGGTATTAGCATTTAAATTTAGGTATGAATTATACTGATCTTAAAATAAAAGTTATTAGTGGAAGTGTTAAGTACATTTTTTGCCTTTCTGAAAGCATCACACAGGTTATTGAACTTTTAGATGGAATTCACATCTCTGAACTTGCTCTCTCATGTGAAAAGATAAGTGAGGTCATTGTCAGAGACTGGTTGGTTTGCCGTGTGAAAGACAGAAACAGAATTTTACCTAAAAAAGTGGAACCTAAAATCAACACAGATTTACAATTACATCCTGAGAAGGAACCTGAAGATGAAGCTGAGTTGTTTCAAGAGGATAACCATGGTGAGCTTCAATTTTATTTTATGTATGTGTTTGGGTTATCAAATGGAGGGTGGATTTCTGAGTGTACTTGACCAATAGGTAATAAAACATCCCTTAGGGAACTTTTCATATAAAATTTAAAATGCGGTATTTATTCAGTTAAATGAAGATGTGTAAGGGACAAAATACAGTAACTGGCAAAGTAGCCCCAAAACAAATGCTTTAGTGTGACAGCCAGGCGGAGTGGTACATGGCTGTAATCCCAGCACTCTGGAGGCTGAAGCAGGATTGCTGTGAGTTTGAGGCCAGCCAAGACTACATAGTGATTTCAAGGCCAGCCTAAACTACATAGCAATACTCTTGTCTCAAAAAATAAAACAGCAAACAAACAAAAAGTCCCTTACAAAAGGGATTGTAATTAATATTTAATAATTTTGTGAACAAATTATTTTATGTGGCATACATCTGTATTTTGTTCTACAGTAGAAGAATCACAATCTGATTTCCCATACGGACCCTTACCCTATATTGCAAGACCTGTCCACTGGCAAAGTGGTCATACAGGTGAGTAATGTTTTCAATACATATGAAGTGGTTTTGTCTTCTGATTAATGCAATGTAATGACATTAATTTTTTCTTCTTTTAAATTAGCTTTCCTTATTAAGTTGAGGAAGGTCAAACCATAATTTAACTGAGGATTTCAGATGACAGCAATGGATTTGAAGACGAAAGAGTATCAAGCTAGAACTTTATATTGCTAATCACTACTTTTAGATTTTTTTTTTTAGCTATTACTATGATTTGTATAACTTTTACATAGAAGTTTGAAAAAAAAGCCAAAGAAAGCTGTGTAACCCTGCAAAATTGCTTAAATGTCCCATTTTGACATTTGTCTTGCATTTGACATTTTGTAGCTAATGATTCCAAGTTGCTTTAATTGAACACTCTTATTCTTCATTGCTTGTAAACCACTCCATAGAATTATCTTTCTTCATGAAGTTAGTTTTCTTTTCTTTGCTTGCTTGATGTTCATTTGCTACTGAAATAAAATAGGCACTTTAAGATAAATTTTCTGTACCTGTATATTTTAAATATGTATTTTAATGGTTTGTGCATAATTTAAAAATAATAAAATTTGGGCTATAGTAAAACTATTGATAAAACTAAGGAAAGGTATAGTTAACTTTAAAACTATTTTTTTATGAAATGTAACTCTTGGGGCTGGGGATTTAGCTCAGCGGTATAAGCACCTGCCTTGCAAGCAGGCAGTCGTGAGTTCGATCCCTGGTACCGATTAAAGAAAAAAAAAAAAGACATTTAACTCTTTTGGGCTGGGGATTTAGCTCAGCAGCAGAAGCACCTGCCTGGCTAAGCACAAGGTCCTGAGTTTGATCCCTGGCACCAAAAAAAAAGTAACTTTTTAAAAAATTCTGGTTATTGAGCCCAGGGCCTCAAGTATACATGCTAAGTACATGAGCTATATTATATACTCCAAGACTGATAACTGTTGACTCTTTCCTCTCAATCTTTTAACCAGTTTGAACATCTGTAAGAGTCGCTGTATATAAGTAAAATGTAGAAATATAAGTTAGACATGAATTACTTAGGGATAGGGCTTATTAATCATTTTTGAAAATCAGTTACTTTGCATTTACTATATATCACACATTCTGTAAAGAACTTTATAAAAAGCTTTGCTAAGTAGGTGAAGAAACAGAACAGGCCCCAGCTGCTGGGACTCATGCCCCATATGGTGGCTTCCAGTACCAAGGTCCCAGAAAGATCCTGACCACCCAGACATGTCAGTTTTGAGTGTATGGTTTTGAATCTCCTTGTGAAAGTGGTTTTGTTCTACCTTTTATATCTTCTAGCTCTCTTTTCCTTCAGTCTTCTGCATCAGTTTCCCCAGGTTGGTGGGATCCATCTTTGTCCTCCAACCTACTTGTAATCTCTTTCTCTTTTCCCACTTCTGTTTTCTCTTTAATCCATTTTGAATCTTAGCCCTTGAGGGCAGAATTGATATATTATGGGCTTATATACTGTATAAAATTGTTTTATATGGTCACAAATTTAGTTTGTATGGTTAAAAGTTGCAAATCACTGGCAACTAACAAGTATCACTTGAGGAATTAAACTGAAAAAGAAAAGAAATGAGAAGGTACTTAAACAAGATACGACCTCAGACACCAAGTTCACCAAAGGCAAACCTAGGGGCTGATGAGGCTGGAAAATCCAAAAGCCCCTTATGAGGTCTCTATGAAGTGGTAACAAAGCAATTGAATGAGGCTCTAGAAAAAAATGAAATCAGAAATAATCTCTTAAATAACTAGAGATTACCAATATACACACCATGCTTATTGTTGTCAGAGCAGACAAAGACAAATAAGTAGACAAGCTTAAGCAAATTATGAAAGCACAACATAGGAAAGAAATGGACTCCTTAAAGCAGATTTAAACAGATATCCAGGAGAATAAAAACTCCATTGAAGGAGGCTGGAGATTTAGCTCAGCGGCATAAGAACCTGCCTTGCAAGCAGGCCGTCATGAGTTCGATCCCCGGTACCAATAAAAAAAAAAAACAAAACTCCATTGAAAGTATCTGAAGCAGATTAGGCCAGTGTGAGGATAGGATCTCAGATACTGAAGATAGGCTTGCAGTTCGTGACCAGCAAAAGAAAAGATTTTTCAAAAACTATCAAGGGAACATTGAGGAATCAATCCAGCAGCTGCTAGATGGAACAAAGAAGAATAATTTAAGATTAACTGGAGTCAATGAATAAGCAGGAAATACCACAAATGATATTAAAAACATAAATGTAATACATCATATTAACAGAGCCAAGGATAAAAATCATACAATTATCTCAATAAATGCAGAAAAGCTTTGACAAAGTCCAGCACCCATTCATGATTAAAAACTATACAGAAAATTGGGATAGATGGTCTTTATCTCAATCTGATAAAAGCCATCTATGGCAAATCAACAACCAATATCATACTAAATGGTCAAAAACTGAAAGCTTTCATGCTAAAATCAGGAACAAGACAGGGATGTCTACTATCACCACACTATTCAATATAATGCTGGAAATATTAGAGCAATTAGACATGAGAGAAAAATAAAAGGAATAAACATGAGAAAAGTTAAATTATAATTATTTGCAGATGACATGATACGTTACATAGAAGACCCCCAAACTCCCCTGAAAGACTTCTAGATATAATAACCAAATTCAGTAATGTAGCTGGATACAAAGTTAACACTCAAAAATTAATAGGCTTCTTGTACACAACAAATTCACTGAGAGAGAAATCAGGGAAACAACACCTTTTACAATAGCATCCCCCCAAATAAGATACTTAGGAATCAATCTAGCAAAGGATATAAAAAACCTCTATATTGAAAACTATAGTACTCTGAAAAGGGAGATTCAAGAGGATATTAGAAAATGGAGAGATATCCCATCTGTAATACAGATTCAATGCAATCCCAATCAACATTCCAATAGCATATCTTACAGAATTAGAAAAATAATCCTAAAGTTCATATGGAATCAGAAGAGAATAGTAAAGGCGATCCTAGGCAACAAAGACAAGACAGGGGGCCTCACAATCCCTGATTTGAAATTGTACTATAAAGCTTCTGTGATAAAAACAGTGTGGTACTGGCAAAAAAAAAAAAAAAAAGAAAAGAAAAAGAAAGAAAGAAACAGACCTGAAGATCAAAGGAATACATTGGAAGATGCAGACACAACTGTAAATACACTAAGCTACCTTATCTTTGACAAGATGCCAAACACATTCACTGAAAAAAAGATAGCCTCTTTAATAAATGGTATTGGAAAAATTGGCTTTCCAATGCTGACAATTAAAACTGGACCCATGGTGGAAGTTCTGGGAAAGGTGGTGGGTAGATAACAGCAAACCATAGAGACTCCCCGAGATAGTCAACTTAGGTGCCAAAATAATACGGCGTGGGGAGTCCTGAACAGAGTGAGATGGATCCTCTTGACCCAGGAAGAAACTAAGGTGAGAAGAACCAGTCAAATATGCAGTCCCAGTGCAACTATTGGAACAGCTAAAGGTTCAGTGTTCCTGCTGCGGTGCCCGAACTTGCACGGCCATGACTTACCAAGCTGCCCAGATTCCCGCCATTTGAACTCACTGGAACCACAGTTGCACTGAGGTTGGGGGCCAGCAGGCCCAACGGAGAGCCGAGTTGGAGGAGGACCTTCATCAACCTGCAGTGAGTGCCAGGAATAAAACCCTTCCACGGAAAAGGGTGCCATTCCAATGGGACAACATCTTGGAACTGGGCAGGACTGGCAAGAATAAGGAACAGCAGTGGCTTCAGTCAGTTGTTCCCTTCCCAGATGGAATTGGTGGGGTGTGCTTGGCCTGGGTCACGCCCCTGGCTGAGACCCAATAAGCCATCCCAAACCAATTCCCAACATGTGGCGCATACTAACACAGTGAAGGCCTCAGCACTTTGAGTGACCCAGAGGGGAGGGGCCAGCATATGCTGCCCCTGGTTGCACCACAATAGCACACTGGTGGGGGCAGGATCACCCAGCAAGTGTGCTTTAGAAGAACCATAACCAACAAAGAAAGAAACTGGGGCCTCCTCTATACACCTGTATGGAAGAAACAAAAAATATGAGAAGAGGAAGCAACAAGAAAAATTTCCCAGCCCCCGACCCTGAGAACATTGATTCAGGACACATAAATACAAAGGAGAATGAGGACAGCAAGCATGCAATATCAGACACAGCAGCAGTGGACATAAAGAGATATCTTTAGGACCTCATAGACAAGTTCAAAAGTAAAATATTTAACCAAGTAAAGCAAGATATAAATAGATTAATAAAAGAAATGCTAAGTGCCTCTTAAGACACAGATGGACGAATGGAGAAACAAAAAAAGGGGAGAATCATTTGATGAGGAATGTAAAGAAAACATACAATACATGAAGCAGGTTCAAAGAGATTACTAGGAAATAAAAACTCCATTGAAAGCTCGGAAAAATGCTTGAAAGAAACTAAGGGTAGATTATCCAAACTAGAGGACAGGTTTTCAATGTGGGATCATGAAAGGAAAAATTTCTTAAAAATAACAAGGAAACAAGCTGTAACAATACAAAGGCTAGAAGACGACAAGAGGATCTATAACTTAAGAATAAAGAATGTGAATGAAGAAGCAGGGGTACAAACAAAGGAATTAGAGAGGCTATTCACAGTAATAATTAAGGAAAACTTCCCAAACATAGGAAAAGGAGATGACATTAGATGTATGAGGCATACAGAACTCCAGCCACCTACAAACAAAACAGAGCCTCACCCAGATATATAATAATCAAGATGCCAAAAATTCAATATAAGAACAGAATATTAAAAGTTGTCAGAGACAAGAAACAGATTACTTACAAAGGAAAACGCATCAAAATTACGGCAGACTTAGCGACACAGACCATCAAATCAAGAAGAGCTTGTAGCAAAATATTCCAAGACCTGAAAGAAAATAACCTCCAGCCCAGATTAATATACCCTGCAAAACCCAAAAGTGCACAGTGCACCCTGGGGGAGTGAAAGGGGAGGGATAGTTTTCAAAAAGACGGCAGAAGATATTCTATCCCAGTTGGTCTATATGCACTAGATCTGAGGGCACAGACAGCTATCCCCAAAAACATCAGCATCAGGATATAGCACAGTAATCATCTTTAATTTCCTATTAACTTAATCTGGAGCTCTGTATAATTTATGCTGTTTTATCATGACTGATCTTAGTTAAAGCTGGTTTGTTTGATTGCTGTTTGTTATCGACAGATTTTATTCAAAACTGTTATGATAGTATCAAGTCTAAGAGTATAGACAACTGCACTGAAAATGACAAGATTCACTATGATACCCATTCTGGTTTGATTACTACCTGTTTTTGTAGTCTTACACTATCTACAAAGTTGTGTTTTTATTAATACTGTTATGTACTGATACATTCAATTATACTATGTCTGATGATATAGCCAATTCTATTGAAGATAAGATACAACACAGTAACCGTGGTAGAACTCCTTGTACAGCAGTTTTATGTCTTTTTCATTTTATATGTTTATAGGAATATGTTTTGTTTTGCCTTGCTTTGTTGTTTCTCCAATATAGAAAGCATAGAAATACACGTTAAGACTCATGCATGCGTAGAACCTATAAACAGTTTATGAGAACTGCTCTTATGACACATGTTGAAATGAACAAATACTTTGAAGAAAATAAGACACTGCAGTACCAGTGCTGATCCCAAAGTGTCATGATGTGAAACCCTGCAATACTATTATTCTTTGTTCAGAGTGATTTTAGCCTGCTTTGGTTTATTTAATCTCAACATAAATGAAGATATGGATAACTGCATGTATGTTTAAGTGTATAAGACTGATAACTGTATTATTAAGTTTTGTTAGATAGTTGAATAGAACTGTTTGCAGTCTCATTTTAATTCACACTTTATATATTCCACTTTTGTATCTTGAACAACTATTTGTAAGAGGACAATATGTAAACATCAACTAGTGATTTCTGTTTATTTTTTCTTTGAAAGTATGTATTATTTCTACCCATTTTCTGTTTTGTTTAGTCTTTCTTTAAATAAAATTTTTAAAAAACTGGACCCATATCTTTCACCATGTACTAAGCTAAAATCAGGATGGATTAAAGATCTTAATATTAAAACAGAAACATTAAATCTGCTAGAAGATAGAGTAGGTAAAACTCTTGAAGACATTGGTGTAGGCAAAGACTTTATGAATAAAACCCAGAGTGCACAAGATGTATTGCAAAGAATCAACAAATGAAATCTCATCCTTCTGAAAAGCTTTTTGCACTGCAAAAAAACCCCACAAGAGTTAAGAGACAACCCACAATGTGGGAGAAAATGTTTGTCAGCTGTCCCTCAGATAAAAGATTACTGTCAAGAACATATAAAGAACTAAAAAAAAAAAAAAAAAAAAAAAAAAAAAAAAAAAATCAGTCCTCCCAGATTTGAAGACCCAATCCAAAAATGGACATCTGAGATGAATACATATTTCTCAAATGTAGAAATATAAACAGCAAATGAATATGTGGAAAAATGTTCAACAGCACTGGTCACTCGAGAGATTCAAATTAAAACAACACTGAGATTTCACCTCAGAAAGTATGGCTAGTATTAAGAAATCAAGCAATAACAAGTGCTGGAAGGGCTGTGTGGAAAAAGGAACTCTTCTCCACTGTTAGTGGGAATACAGACTGGTGCAGCCACTCTGGAAATCATTGTGGAAGTTCCTCAAACTAGGACTGGCAGTCCCATTTGACCCATCTATTCCCCTTTTGGTTATCTTCCCAAAAGAATTAAAAGCATCATACCCCAGAGATACATGTGCATTCATGTTTATTGCAGCACAGTTTATAATAGCCATATCTTGGAAACAACATAAATGCCCAGCGACTGAGGAATGGATTAAAAAGATGTATTTCTATACAACAGAATATTACTTGGCCATAAAGAATGATAAACTGGACACTTACAAGTAAATGGATGCACCTTGAGATTATACTTATTAGTGAAATAAGACATGCATGTGTAAACACTGTTTCATTAGTGTGACAAGCTGAAAGAAAAATCATGTATGTTTATGTATATATAAAAAAGTTAAGATAGTTTTAAAAAAGCAGCATAATAGCCTCCTTTGTCATCCACATGGCTTGTTCAGAACCAAATTCAATGCCTCCCTTCACTGAACACCTTTGTATGTGCTACCTTCCCTTCTACACCTGTCCCAGTCTTTTTGTCCCAGAGAGAATGACCTCAGCCAAAGCAACAACTCAGGTCACACCTGTCTACTTTAACTAACCCCACTGTGAGCCATTTTGAGTTGACTTTGGGACGTGCTAAGAAATTTTTTTATGTGCTATAAGGTCTGGGGTTTTTGCATGTGGATATCCAGTTGTTCCAGTACATTTATTGAAGGTTACAGTCCTTTCTCCACTTAATTGTTTTTGCATCTTTGCTAGAAATCAATTGTCTGGTATGTGGGTATCTACTTGGGGGCTTCATATTGGTACCTTGGTGTGTTGTCTATCTTGGTATCAATGCCATTTTGTCATGATTGATGTAATTTTGTGATGTCGGATTGGGGAGGATTGGAGCACTGATTTTGTTCCTTTATCAAGGTTATTTAGACTATTCTGAGTTTTGTATTTCTACAGAAATGTAAGAATAAAAACGTTATTTTTTATGAAAAATGATGTTGGCATTTTGATAAGGCATTGTGTTTTCTGATCTTTTATTATTTTCTTCTATTTGTTTTTGGTTTTATCTGTCTTTTATTTCTAATTTCTTACATAAAGATATGAAGATATTTCATAATTTTCTAATAAATGTACTTGGTGTTAAATTTAATAAAAATTTTAAAAAATATAATAAAATAAGTGGACTGAAGATCTAGGTATAAGACCCAAAACTTTGAAACTGTTAAAATAAAATGGAAAGCACTTGTAGCACTTGAAGGCATAGGCACAAGTGAAAAGTTCCTGAGAACAGATAGCACAGCAAGTAATAGCACGAATTAATAAATGGGACTTCATCAAATTAAAGAGTTTTTTCCCAACAAGGTAAACAACTAACAGTGCAGAGAGAGAACATATAGAAGGGGAAACAATTTTTGCCAGTTACTCCTCCAATAGAGAATTACTATTTAAAATATATAAAGAACAACAGCAAAGACCAAAAAAACAGGTAAATGAATTAACAGATGGAAGTACAAATGGCCAACATTATATATATATAGTGGTAGGGGAGGAACAAAGAATTAAGATGAATTATGTATATGTACCAATTGCCCACTATGAATGTCATCATATGCTACAAACATACCAACAAAAAATTAAAAAACAGTTCAACATCTTTAGTCATTAGAGAAATGCAAGTCAAAATTACACTGAGATTCCATCTCCATGTAGTCATAATTGGCCATCATCAAGAATAAAAATGTAGCTCAGTGGCATAGTGCCTACCTGGCATGTGTGAGGCCATGAGTTCAAATCCTGGTACCCACCCCCAAACATTTTCTTTAAATTAAAAAAAAAAAAAAAAGAAACAATACAAAAAACGAGCCAGACATGGTAGCACACATGTGCAATTCCAGCACTTGGGGAGATGAGGCAGGAAGATTGTTGCAAATTCAAGATCAGCTTGGGCTAGACAGTTCAAGGCCAGCCTGAACTATATGATGAGACTCTGTCTCAAAACAAAACTAAACTAAACAATGGTAAATGCTGAGGATTCATGGGGAAAAAACCTTTGCACTGCTGGTCATAATGTAAATTAGTACAGCCACTATGGAAATCAGTATGGAGGTTCCTCACTAAACTTGTTAGTAGAGCTAATTATTTGATTCAGCTGTACCACTCCTTGCTACATACCCAAAGGAATTAAAATCAGCATAGGATAAGGATGCCGGCATAGCTATGTGTATTGTGGTACAATTTGTGATAGGCAAGATGTGGAACCAGGCTAGATGCCTATCAACAGGTGAATGGATAAAGAAAATGTATATATTATTTAGCCATAAAGAATGAAAATTTGGGGGAACTGGGGCTGCCGGAGGTGAGTTTAAGATCATCACTCCCAGCATTTAAGTACCCCCCCAACCTGATTCCAGCCACTCTAGACTGGGCTCTGCATATTTCACTGCCCAGTGACCTTCTTTCAACCCGGGGAACTGGGTCTGCCTGAGGTGAGTTCCAGCATACCAGCTGGGGCCGGAAGAGTTTAAGATCATTGCTCCTAGCAGTTAAGTTGCCTGCCCAGCTTCCAGCCACACTAGACTAGGCTTGGGAGGTTTTGCAGGATAATTAGACCACACCCAGTGACCTTCTTCAATCAGGGGAGCTGAGGGCACGTGAAATGAGTCCCAGCGCATCAGTGCTTGCCCAAGGACAGCTTTGGACCATCACCCACAGTGATTAGGAGCCCGCCCAGCCCCCTAGTAGGTCAGAGGTGGCATGGAAGGTCCTGTGGGCCTAACTGAACCATGCTTAGCAACCTTCATTCAGTCCCAGGAGCCCAGGGCATGGGAGATGATTTCCAACACCCCCAGGGGAAGCTTTGGAACATTACTTGAAACATGGAAATACAGGAAAATGACAAGACAAAAGACCAAAATGCAATCTTAAACCTCCAGCCCATCCCAAGAAAGCCTCGGAGCCATGTACATAAAAGAAAACATATGCCATATGCCTGAAATACCTGACATAATAGCAACTGAAATAAAGAAGCAACTCCAGGAAGCTTTAAAGGAATTCAAATTAGAAATAATCTCCCAGGTAAAAGAAGAAATGATAAAAGTAATGAAAGAAATGCTGAACCCATCTCCATCTAAAGAAGACACAGTTAAAAAACTAGAGGAACAAAGCAAAAAGATAGATTCCATGGATATACAATATAAGAAACAATAGAATACATGAAGCAGATTAAGAGAGATATACAGGAAATAAAAAATTCCATTGAAAGTTGTCAAAACTGCCTCAACAAAAGTGAAGCTACAATTTCAGACCTAAAAGACAAGATGGCAGCTAGTGAACAGGAAAGGAAAGATCTTTTAAAAATAACAAGGAGGGGCTGAGGATTTAGCTCAGCGGCATAAGCGCCTGCCTTGCAAGCAGGCAGTCGTGAGTTCGATCTCCGGTACCAATAAAAAGGAAAAAGGCAAAAAAAAAAAAAAAAAAACCACACAAGGAATCAGGAAATAACAATTCAACAGCTGCAAGATGATTCAAAGAAAAACAACATAAGATTGATAGGGATAAATGAAAAAGAAGGGAACAACACAAATGATATCAAGAGGCCATTTACAGAAGTAATAGTTGAAAATTTCCCAAACATGATAATAGAAACTGTCATGCAGATTAGTGAAGCATATAAAACTCCAAATAGCCATAACCAAAATAAAACTACACCCAGATATATAATAATCACCATCCCAGAAATCCAACATAAGAATAGAATATTAAAATCTGTTAGAAAAGACAGATCACTTATAAAGGAAAACCTATCAGAATCACAGCAGACTTCTCAACACAAGCAATGAAGTCAAGAAGAGCATGAAGCAAAGTATTTCAGATCCTAAAGGAAAATGACTTCCAACCTAGACTGATGAACCCTGAAAAACTGCCCTTCAAAATTGATGGATAAGGTACTTCCAAGACAAAGAACAGCTGAAGAAATTCGTGATCACCAAATCAATCCTGCAAAGAATAGTGAAAGACAGTCTATATACACATAGGAAAAAAACCACTAAGCAAGGCAGACAATTAAACAGAATGGAAAGATAAAGATGCAATGGCAGAAAGATAACATGTCCATAATAAAACAATATATAACAGTTATAACCATTAATGTAAGTTATCTCAATTCACCAATTAAAAGAAACAGACTGGCAAAATGGATCAAGAAACAACATCCAACCATATGCTGTTTACAAGAAACCCATCTAACCCAAAACGAGTCTCGTAGACTGAAAGTCAAAGGATAGAAAACAATACTTCATGCAACAGGAATCCCCAAAAAAGTGGGGGTAGCTATTCTGTTTGCAGACAATGTAAACTTCAAACCAAGAATGATCCTAAGAG